TATATTATATACTTTTAGAATTGCAATAGAATTGAATATTAACTATAACTGATCATTATAATATATTTAAATAAATGACATAAAAATTAGATATGATATCGGATCGGTAATCGGTCGATATCAATTTAATATCGGGAATATCGGATCGGATAGGCCTCCAACCTACTTAAAACCCAAATTTATTAGTTATACCTTTAAAACCCATGGTGATCCTGGATAGTTGACATCCCTTTAAAAATTATGACATATATAATATTGGGAATATAACTTTAATATAATAAAGAAAAACTTTTTATTGGCCATTATTTTATCACAAATTATAAATTATTTCTTTTTATTATTTATACATGCATGAATGATGTTGAATTTTTATATTGGTCCTCCACATTTAATTACAATATCAATATGTGTTAAAATAAAATTTTTATTTTTTTCCGTCATGCATGGGCTACTCTTTTTGAATATTTATTACATATATTTTTATTTTCATAAAAATTTTTTATCAAAAGAAAGAAAATGGTAAGAAAATGAGAATAAATAAAAGCTTTATTAATTTAGAATGAATAAGATAAGAATAATAAGATTTAATTTAAGATTAGAAAATGAAATTTTTTTTTTACTTTTCATTTATCCGAGCCCCAGGTGTAGGTCTGAACCCCGGGTCTGGACCCCGGGTCTGGACCCCGGGTCTGAACCCCGGGTGGGCCTGAGCACAAAATTTTGTCGTAAATTTTATGACCAAGCAAATTAACAACACTAGTTGCCAGGTCAAAATTTTCAAATTGTGGGAGAAATTCGGTATTTTGTGGGAGTAATAGAAAAATTGTGGGAGAAATATGAAAATTGCCAAAAAAAAAATTTTGCGGGCACGGTCTGCGGCCGGGATTTAGAATTGACTTCAAAATAAAATAGCCAACTATTTTTCAAAATAAAATATCCAACTCTTTTTCAAAATAAAATAGACTCTTTTTCAAAATAAAATAGCCAACTATTTTTCAAAATAAAATAGCCAACTATTTTTCAAAATATAATAGGTAACTATTTTCCAAAATAAAATACGCAACTATTTTTCAAAATAGGTAATTATAGTACGGCACAAAATTTCTTAAATACTATCTTTATTATTAAAATAACATATTGATTTATTATAATATATTAATTTTGTTTAAAAATAATAACCAACGATCTTTTTTAAATACAAAAGAATAACAAGATAAAATTTTATAAAAAAATTGTAATTTTACAATGTAAAAAAATATATTTTATGCTAATGTATAAATAAGATTTTATAAATAACAAACAATTTCATATTTACAATGTAAAAAATATTTATAATCAGTGCGGGGAAGTTGTTCTACGGTATTTAGTTAATACAATGGGGGAAAGAAATATGATATTTTGAGGCATCAAAAATCTTCAAAGCCTAAATCAGTACAGGGCAGTCTATCAACATCTATTGCAAAACAAAAATATTCTTTAAAAATAAGAAATAATACAGATGCATCTACAGTTGCGGAAATGGTAAATACTTATCATGCAGTATAATATTAAAAGAGCTACTTAACATCACAATGTTGGTAGAATCTTTCCCCATAATATTTAACGACTAATATAAATAAAAAGTATACTTGTAGAACACTAATGAGCAAGGCTATCATCAATGTTTTAGGATATAAATCCAGAAAGTCAATTCTTGACGATTTGAAAGATGTACAAACATATGCAATTCTAACAGATGTATCTAATAAGGAGATATCAAAACATTTCCCTTGATCCTCCCCTATTCCAACAAAATTAATGTCATTTCAATAAAACTATCAAAAAAATTTTCTCCAGATATGAAATATCCAAACACATAGTAAACCATATATAATGGTAAATAAGGCAGATTTGGCATTACCAATGAATTGCATGGCACCTTTCTGATCTGATAATTCCACAGTAAATTTGGCAAAAACCAGAGTGTATTTACAGAATTGAGTCAGCATAATGTTGGTTGACAGGTTCCTCCTAATACGCGCCATCGTAGAATTTTAAAATTTTACAAACCTTTAAAAAATAAATAGATTATAAAAGCTGTCCTAATATTTTAAAAAAAATTTTCAAAAATAAATATTTAGGAATTTTACATATAGGAAATCTACTATATGCTGTTAATATGCAGTTGCAATCAGAAGAATTTAATTTAATAAAGGTTCACTAAATTATGCTGCAGAAATACCAAAGTAAGAATATTATTACCAATCGTAATTATTAATAAGATTTAATATGATGTCATGTTTGAGGAGATTGTAATGCTTCTTTATTTTTATGATTTGCCAAAATATTCAAAATATTAATTTTACAATGTAAAAAATAAATTTATTTGATTTTATGCAAATGTATAAATAAGATTTTATAAAATATAGAAAGTCAAATAGTTATAGTTAATTATATTTTATTTGAGATTTAAATAATGGAACTAAACGTTTACCGTCGTTAGTAAGATATTTATAAAATTCCTGGCATGACATTTTATAATTTTGTATAACCATTAACTCGGCCTCTAATGTTGTTAAAGCAATTGGATTTCTCTCCTTTCTCCAGGCAGTCCTCATCAGGCTAAAAATGCGCTCCGATGAGGCATTAGAATGAGGTAAGGAGAAAACATACTCGCAAATTTTTTCCAAGCATAGGGATTTATCGTTATTACGAAAAAATTCCACCCATTTCTCCTCTGCTTTTAGACCATCTAACTTTAAGTATTCTGGCGAATCATAAAAAATGGAAAAAATTACAATCTCTTCAAACAAGGCTTCAATGTCTATCGGTAATTTTAATATATTTATTAAATTACAAAAACCATCAAATGATGGTTTCTGTTCCAAGGTCATAATATTTAAACATTTGTAAATAGAGTTATAAAAATCAAATTTTGATTGTAAATATTCTAAAATTGTCTTAATAAAAATATCTGCTTCATTTAAAAATGTATTAATTAGAGTATTATTTGAACATTTTAATATAATATTTTTAGCAATAGCGCCATAAAATTTATTATCTATTTTTAACTGTAGAGATGAACAGAGCTGTAGCATGATTTTGTGAATCTTTATCAATAAAGAATCTTCTGATTGCAACTGAATATTAACTACATGAAGTAGATTTCCTACATGTGAAACTAATCCCAAATATGCTTCTGACATTTCATCCTCGAAAAAATTTTTCAATATTTTAGGACAGCTTTTAAAATTTTTATTTAAGAAGTATTTCTTTATGGGTTCGTAAAATTTTAAAATTCTCTCGATAGCAGGTATTAATGATAACCACCTGATAGGTACATATCGCAACACTCACACCATTCCAAATCAGACCACTCCACCTTTTAATTCAGTGACTCTTTTAGTTGATGAACTAAATTCGTTTAAACATTTCATCACAATTACTTCGACATCTACAGATAGTACATTCATTGCCTTGTTGCAAGAATTATGCAGTATATGGCATATACAGCCAGTTGGTATTAATTCATTATTGTGTTGCCTCAATTAGGTAAATACACTTTGATTTTTGCCAAAATTAACAGAGGCATTATCAGCGCAGAAAGCTGACATGCAACTCATTGATAACCCTGAATCAGCTATATTTACCATTATGTGGTTAGCTATATCGTTGGATTTTTTACTATTGGATGAAAAAAATTTCAATAGTTTTATAGAAATGCCCTTATTCTTGTTGAAATAGCGAAGGATCAGGGGAAATGTTTTAATATTTCCCTTATTTGATGCGTCTGTTAAAATAGCATATGGATGTCCTTCTTTCAAATCGTCTAGAATTGACCTCTTGGATTCAGGTCCTAACACATTTGTGATAGCCTGCTCATTTATGTCCTACCACAAGTAAAGTTAGCACTTATTTTGGATTCGTTAAATATTATGGGAAAAAGATTCGACCCACATTGTGCAGATAGCATATGCATTTTGCATAATGGTAAGCATATTTTTAAAATGATAATATTTAGTAGATTGTCGTTTGTTATAACTGAGCTATTGTTGAATAATATATCAATTATATTTATAATCTTTTGCTTGACATATACTTTATGGAATAGTATAAAAGTAAGTAGTGAAAAATATTATTTAATCAATATTATTCATCCACTAACTTTATTTAAAAGAATTAGAGATTAGAATAATATCCACTTCTAAAAGTTCTATTCTTCTAACACAAAAATTTTGAAAATGTCGAGTGGAGCACTGCAATTCTAGATAACGATATAAAATATATTAAGTAATTTAAAATATATTTATAATAATTATACATACTGTTCTAACTTCTATTCTTTCTAACACAAATTTTAAAAATGTCGAGTGGAGAATTAAAGAATTTTATAAAAAATTTATTTTAGAGCGGAAAAATAAAATAAAAGAACTAGACATATTTTTCGAATAAATATTTAAAATTTATTTTAAAAATATAAAAATAATCAAATACTGTCTCTCAAAATTATTATTTATATATTAAAAACATTAAAATGCTAAGAAAAAAATTGTGGGAGAAATTAAAAAATTGTGGGAGATTTCTAATTGTGGGAGTTTTGTGGGAGTGAGATGTATGTGGGTAAACTAAAAAATTGTGGAAGACTCCTACTGATGGGGGAAGACATGGCAACCCTGTTACTGACTCAAACATATTAGTGGACTCATCACCTACAATCTAAAATTATTATCAAATATAAGATATAATATATAACAGAATTATATTATCTTATTTATTTTTCTAAATATTAATATTACCTTACTATCATTTAATCCTAAATCAAAATGGCTTTCCATATTGTTGTTTAAAAAAATTATATGCTAGTTTCGTATCGGATATATAACAGTTTCGTTTTTGATTGTTTCGTTAAAAAATTAAATAATTAAAAATACACAATTGGTAGTACCCATCAAAATAAAAATAGTAAAATAGCTATTTGCTCGGTACTGCCTTTGGTAGTAAGCATCATTAACCCCCTTTACCTATCATGTGATGAAATGATACCTTAAAAAAAATATAGTTATATGGAATCGGCCGAGAGCAAGGAAATTTTGGAAAATCAAAAGCTAAAAAGCTTGGCGATTCAACTTAAAAAATCGCTAAACGATTACAAAAATAAAGTTTTTTTTATGTATAAGTTAATAATTTTTCCTTATTTTTTAAGTGTGTGGCACTTGAAAAACAATTGTATTACCAAAGTAACGAGGCAAAAAGTAACACTGATTATCAGAATAATAGCCTAATTATCAATGATATGTTGCATGATGTGAGAGATCCTAAAAAAGAGAATCTATTTTTGAATGAATCTGAAATTGAAAACTATAAAGTAGAAACATAAATTAAAAATATTTAAATTTGTTTTTTATGAACAATTTGAATAAGGATATTGCATTTAAACTCTTGTGAATAAATTTTTAATTACATTATAATAAAATACAAAGCAAAAGTTGATAGTAAAGAATGAAGAGATTATAAGCCTCAAAGAAAATAACATTCTATTAAACAAAGAAAAGAAACATAATATAGAAGAGAGTCAAAAATTATCAAAACAAATTGATAAATTAAAGTTAGAAAATGAATTCCTAAATGGGCAAGTTATCAGACTACACATACAGTTTGGTCAGGTAGAAGATAACCAAGAAATGATTAGGTAAAATTAGGATAAATTATGATATATTTTTCACAGGTAGCAATTTTATTTAAATTAATAATATTTAGACCTCTCATATAATTGGGGGATAAACACTAACCTATCTAACTAACATATGTTTTTTGCTATTTCTATTTATGAGCTTATTAGGACTGATTTAAGTTAGGATCTAACAAGTCCAATCACAAAACTTGACTTAGGTATAGATTTTCTTAGATTTGGTTGGATTTAGATCTTAATAAATTTATTTTGGACTGAATTTGACCTTTTTTAAATTACTTTGTTTTAATGATGTATTATTGAATATTGTTTTACATTTTCAGATACTTTTTTTAAACATTTCAATAAAAAATACACACAATCCTAATTTTAAGATAAAACTTTGGATCCGATTCAGATAAATTTTTGTAAAATATTGAGGCAACATTTTTCTTGGATTCTGACCTGAGAAATAGATAGGCCCAATGCAGGGCTCTTATTAACAATGAGTAAATTTAGGTATTTATCTAAATAATCAGGAATAAATTGTGAAGGTGATTATGAAGGGCTAAGCCCACCCCTCTATTTTTATTTTGATCTTTGTGAACCTTTCCAAATTTTGAAGAAGGGTATATTTTGTATTCTAATCATGATAAATTAAAAAAAAATTTATATTTCTTTCTTTATTGCGTCTATTAGACCCCACTACAGCATTTGTTTCATATCTTTCACAGTATTATTGAAAGGTTAAATATCAATTAGAGACCTACCAGCCCAATCCTAGGCCTGGCCTGTGTACATGGGCCCAGCTTTATTTTAATTTTTTAAAATATACTTGGGCCAGGCCTAAAAATTTTTTTTTTAAATACCCAGGCTGGTAAATTTTAAAACTAATAGCCTTTATTAGCTATAAATTTAAAATAAATAAAATATATTTAAAAAAAATCTGGGCCAGGCCTGAACATATTAAACTCGGGACATGCAAATGGCACCTCTGCTGGTCTCTGATATCAATTAATAAAATAATATAATATTGAAATATAAAATTATTAATAATAATTATATTTTCCTTTGTAAAGATAAGAGCCTCTAGTTTATGTGTTAATATTTCTTCTATGAGAGGGGTATCTATATCACCAGCTGAAATACTTATGTGTTAGGTTTGCTAAAGTTGGAAATCTTTGAGCAATAATACTCCAATAATCAAGAGGATTGATTGGAGATTAAATGTTGATACCTTTGTTAATTATAATTTTAATTTTATTGTACTTTCTTTCTAATAAAAACAATGGAATTAACAATAGACAAATAAAAATACAAAATTTTAAATAGTTAATATTATTTCTTTTATTGAAGATTTATTACAAGAAAGGGAAATTAGTTCAAAAATGTGTATAAAAATATGTAGATTGGTATCGGTTAAATTTTTTACATCGGCCAATCCAATATTTTTTCTAAAAGTTCAATATCGGCATTGATCCAATACCAACATTTAATATTGGTACAGCCCTATTTTAAATAAATATAATCCCATTCTCATTCCACCTGTAAAATATTTTAAATTCGCCTGCCTATTTACTCCCTCCCCTCTTCCTCACCTAGCGTTCTTTTAATTGGATTTTTTGGCCTGGCCCATAATTGGTGCGCTAATTTTTCTCAAAAAATAAGCTTCCCTGGACTACGTGTTACAGGAGCTTGATACAAGTGAGACATTTATATTTGTTTTTTTTAAATTTGGGAAATCATCATATAAACATATAAAGTAACTAGTTATTTTGACGTTACATTCTAATTTTCTTGCAAAAATGCAACCAACTTCTAACTATTATTTAGACAACGCTAGAAATTAGAGATCTGCATAACACGTTTGACAAATTTTTAAAAAAAAATTTCGGGCTGAGCCGAGCTTGAAAAATTAATCCCGATGCAGATCATTACTACAAATTATTTATAAAATAATTATAATATATATAATCATATAATCACGATAATATTGGATCGATTTTTTAAATTATATCGGCACATATCCTATCCGATATTTAATGTCGGCGGCCATAATTTTTTTAGTATCCGTGGTATCGGTATAGGCTAAAAAAATAGTATATTTTAAAAAAATCTATTATTTTATATGTTTAAATTTAATTCGCACAAATATTTTTTCATTGTTGTACCTGTTAGGGTCAAGGACCTTGAAATTGAAAGCTACGAAAAATGCATTAATAACTTGAAAGAATCAATGGGCGATAAGGATGTAGAGACCTTGGCGCTTAAGAAACAGTTAGAAACTTTGGAAGATGTAATAACGAACAATGAGCAGGATATCTGTATAATTATGATTTCAATTTTATTTTAAAAATATTTATTTATAATTAGAAGTGAATAAAACTTAATTTAAGAAAATTATTTCTTCATAGTAAGAAAGAAACAAAGAATGAAAGTTAGATTTTTAAATAAATTATCGATATGTTATAATATTGCCTATTTGATGCGTTTTATAAATTTGTTGCACTTTTATTTAAACCGGTTTGTAAATTAAAAAAAAGAAGGTTTCCGGTTCCTGGATTTTCGTTTCGGGGTTCTATTTCCGGTTCCAAATATCTGATTTTAAACATTTCAAAAAAAAGTAAAATTGCCAGATTTAAATAGTGGTATACCAATATTTTTAATACCTGATCGAATCAATGATTTTTGAATCGATATCGAAATTTACATATCTAATATAATGACCAACATTTATTTTTATTTAAAAAAAACATTAAAATGTCGCTTAAAACGTTAACGTTATATACTACTATCATTTAATTTTTTTTTACAATGTTGTTAAAAGCTAGTTTCAAAAATAGCGCGCTACTACTATCCCTAATTTTCAAAGTAAAAACTAGCTGTCGCTAATTAACACTACTTTATGACATAAAAAATTGTTAATATTTTTAAAATCCGTTTATTATAAATTGAATAGCGCCTTGTATAGACTAGGAAAAAATTAAACGTTTTATTTATTATATTATTACATTTTAATAACAAAATCATTTTCGCCCCCGAGCCTTGAGCAGCCATTACTAAATTTAAGTTTAGCTTAGCTAAGCTAGCTCTAGATCAGCACTCTAAGGTGAGGGTAGGAATGTGCCCATTCTAGTTTAAAAGTGCATAAAATCAAAGAAGTTATCAAATATGTTTATGGTATTATTTATGATACAAAAAAAGCATACAGTTGATTTTCCTTCATATTTATATCATTTTTTTTCTAATAAAGCATCAATGGAATAGATCGTCTTTGTGATTACAGCCAATCTTTTATTCGTGAGATTCGGAATATTTAATCTTTTAATACATTTTGACCCTGGAAGATTAATGTATATGGATAATATCATAAGCGTAACCAGGTGGGGGGGGGTGGGATAGTTAGGGTTTTCCCCATGAATTTTATTGGAGGTCTTTGGGTCAACTTACTGTAGGCCTTTGGCTATGTTAGATTTTTTATAAAAATATTTCTGGGTTTTTTTTATAAAAATTTTGAATTATAATCGCTATTTTAAAAGGTTATTAACTTCTAACTTTTTCTTTCAAATTCTTTATAGTGCTATATTGTATTCAAATTTTTCAACGATCCAATCCGATATTACCAAAAATCCAATCCAATATTTGATAAAATTTTATTAATTTTTGTTTCCATAAATAAACTTCATTTATAGTGGGATGAGAATCTGCTCTCAGATTATCTGAGCATTCTTCGAATATTGATAAAAATTATCTAACTAACGCGTGATATTTAAATCAATGGTCGCTATTTAATTCTTGTTTATTAAGCAGGTAAACATATACTTCATCATATGATTTTAAGTAACTTTGTATCATGATATATACATAATTCCATCTATTATATCTTAATTGAAAGTCTTTGTTTGCTACAGATTGCTTAAAATATTGCACTATACTTAAAGTTATGCTATTTCAGGTAAGCAATTATCAAAAACATAATGTATTATGTTATTTAATATATGGCATGAACATGGTATCTTTCATCATCTTTGAATCCAGTTATATTCATTAAATTTTAAACTGCATCAATTTATAGGTAAATATAAGAAAATTTAAACATTCCTTTAATTTTGACTGATTATAATTTGAGTGCAAATGATTAGTATACAGTAAAGATAAATGAAAATAAAACATAATTAAATTAAATTTATTACTTAATTTTCATTGCATGGGAGTGAAACTTTAAATTATTTTTCATTCAATTAAAATTTTATGACGAGAAAAAAAAATGATGTTATAAAATGCCTATTTTTTTTAAAAAATTATTTCTTTTTAAAAAAGAGTTAAATTAAATTAGCAAATATATATTATAATTTATCATTTTAAAATTGCAAATTTATATTCATAAAACCAATTTTAAAAATTACAATTTCTTTGATTCATGGGAAATTCATGTTCACGCCCAATCACCCCGGCAAAAATTGGGAAGCCCCGTCACGCCTAATAATTTCAAATTTAACCAAACTCACTCCGTGACCCATCATGTCGCGCATAATTTCACCGCCCATCCCCACTTTTAGTTTTAATTCCTATTCGGGACAGGTAGGAAAGGGGTGAGAAAGCTGATTCGATAATTTATTTTTACCTTATTTTTAGACGATGTATAATTCAAATCGAATTTAACTTTCTTCAGGTCGGTTGAAAAGTTTGGAAGATGAGAAGGAAAATCGTATCCAGGAATTGAATGAGAAAATCGCATTACTTGATATTCGAATCGAAGATTTTACGGAAAAGGTTCAAAATTTTGGTATAATCACACCCTATTGCCGATATTATCTTATCATCTATCCATTTATAGGAATAAATTTGTTAACCATCACGACAAATTTTACCTTTTTTTAAATATTCAGTTTATTTCTAAGGTCTAATTTATAGTAAACGTGTTATGTTCAAGCGTTGCGTTAGTTAACGCTATCAAAAGCACAGTCGATTCTTCGTAGAGGTGATAATTTTTTGAAATATACATCGCAACATATTCAAATCTTATTGTGTTATCATCATAACGCTCCATATTTATAAATATTATACTTATTTATTGGGTTTTGTTAATATGCGTTGAATAACGCAACACGTGCACATATCGCCTTCACTATAAATGAGGTCTAAGGCTGCACACCAGAGCGTTCGGGCGTATAATTTTAAAAGATAGAAAGCTAATAATTGAGCGTCTCTGATTATCGTTTTACAAAAATTTTGATATTTCGACCATTTATACATAAAAACTGTTATCGTCTGTTTTTACTAGTCGTATTAATTTCAAATAATTTATATCTTAAAGTAATTAGGCTTAGGTTTAAATAGAATACATTTAAGACTAATCTTTATAATTTATAATTTTATTTATATTTTTTTTTATAACGACTACCAAACGCGCAATATCTCGAACGCTTTGGTATGGTCTTAGCCTAAATTCGCTACGTAAATCATTCATCTTAATTTTAACAATTTTTTTTAAATTTATAAATAACCATAAAAAATAGGAAAATGAAACAATGACTCGACACCAAAATCTGTTGGAAGAAATTGATAGGGTTAGATTATCAGCCCAAAACGAAACTTCCTTCAAGGAGACCCTCTTCGGGCATAAGCTTGCGGATCTTCAAAGGGAACTCGGTCGTTGCAAAGCCGAACACAACTCTTATAAAGTATTCGACTCGTTTTTAAATATATGATTGTTTGGGCAGGAGTTGAGCATCGTTCTCAGAACTCTTTCCAATGGGCCATAAATAATGTCTCTATATCTGAAGCCCCAATCAAGAAAAATATGGGTAGATGATTATTTTTATTATTTTTAAACACTAAATGGGCACGGTTAACTTTTAACTGAAGGGAAATGTGAATATCCTACTCAGAGTGTCCTTGGTAACTTAGAACAATCTCAGATTTTTATGATTAAATTTTTTTTAGAGTAACATATACGTCGAAACGCTTCAGGAAAGTTTGCCCAGTTTTATAGCTCCTGCTATTCCTTTAAATAGGTCCCTTAAGTCACTTCTTTTTTTAAAAAAATAATAATCTTTATCTATAAAATTTGAATTTTGTTATTTTTTTGCACCTATATTAAATAATTATATTATAAAAGTTAATATTCTTTAATTACTTTTTAAACATTTTACTGAGAGCTTATTTTTTTTGAATCTAGAAAATTTTGATTTGATAGGAAATTTGTTTTTGTTTCAATTTCAGACAATTCTGAACGTTTATTCTTATTTTATATTAATTTTTATGACGGAATGCATATCCGGTCAAATCAGATTTTTCAAATTGAGAGATTTCGAATTCCCATGCGGCATATATATTTGAATATTCATTAATATAGTATGAAGGAAAACATTTGTTTATATTTTGTTTTATAACAATGTGCCTTTCTAATTTTTTAGAACAATTATTAATCCGACCTTATCATTAAGGCTAAAGTGCAAGTCGTTCTCAATGAATCACTGATCTCCGCTAAAACTGACCGGTCCATTCAAGCCACACCTCCCGTGATAACGAAATCTTTTAAATTCGTTCAGACTAGTCCGTCAAATCGAACCGTTATAAACGATGCGGTCGATATTCGTATTAAGAATCTTATGTTGTCTCAAATCTTTGCGGAATGGGAGAACAAGTTTGTTCCCATTTGCAATATTATATTGTGATCGCACCTTGATAAACTGAACATGATTGTTTACCCTAATTCTTACTAACTTTAAAAAGTTGACGACAAAATATTTTCCGAAGGAGTAATACTTGAAAAGTTTCTTATACAAACGAAATTTTATGAGAATTTTGAACCTGGACTAATAAGGATTACGGTTCTTCCGAATATTTTTTAAGAAAAGCGGGATTTGGTTTCAGTTCTTAAATTTAGCGCGGTTTGAGTGTTTATATTAGACGGTGCCGAATGTACCGTTTAACAAATCTGTATTTAACTCTCTTTTTTTTTGGTTTGGAGCGTCATTGCCACATGGTTATAATATATAAAAATGATTTCGTTGCTTTTCGAATAACATCTGTAGCTAAACGGTGATTGTTGAAACCAGGTTTATAGCTGACCTTGACGGTTTTATGCATCGGGGTATGATATATAACAGATCGGAAGAGAGGGCGGCTTTAGTACATGTTAGAGATCTGCAAAAGTAGGCCCGACGGCCTATTTTTAAAATCGGGTTCGGGCTAGGCAGGGCTTAATGTCGGGCTTTGGAATTTTTTAAAAATATATCTAAATTTATCAATTTTATGTTGTATTTTTAATGTAAAATAAAAATATTTTATTTTATTTATAGAAACTAGACGCCATATAACATATATTGTTTATTTTGAACAATTATAAAAATTATTTTCTATATTTAAATAAATTCGGGCCTGGCTGGGCTTGAAAAATTAGGTCCGATGCAGATTAATAGTATACGTATTAAAAAAAATGGGTCTTATTGCATTTTAATATTGGTGTTTGTTTAGAAAATTTCAATAATGTTGAGTTGACCACGTTTAGCATCAACCGTTCTACAGGTTTTGGTTCCGGCTCAAACTCTGTTAAAGAAACTCCCAAAAATGAATCACCCAAAATTTTAAACAATGTATACTACCAAACTTCATATAAAAAATATATAATTAATCCTTAGTAAATAATATTTTTATGGTCCGTGGATAATCCTTAAATAAAAATATATGTGATTCGATAAAATCCTTAGATAAAAATATATGTAATCTTATAAGGTCTTTCTTGAACTAAAATTTAAGCTTCAGGAAATAAGCGATAGATCATCTAGACACCAATCTTTGTTAGTTAGCAGGCCTTATAAAACATATTCTAGAGAAGATCTTGTCTTAAAAAACGTTATGCAAACATTTAGGATTTGATTTATGAGTGGAATTCTATTATAGGAAAACCGATTTTCGCAATAAAATGGACAAAGAAGAATTTATAAAAGAAATATTCGCTTTATAAAGTATTTATTTATCTTAACAGTATTGTGCCTAACTTATTCTTTAATTTAGGCTATATAAAAAAAACAACAATTTTTAAAAAATATATGGGGTCTTTAAATACAATAATTGGACCCTGAACAATGGAATAACTTCCATATAAATGAATCCCGTTTTGTAATGAACTATGGTAGTATTAGGGATCATGCATTAAGAAAGTAGAATAAAGCATCTCTTACTGATTGTTAAAAAGGAACCGTTATGATATGGGAATTTATGAGTTCCAAAAATGATGGAATTCTGGCCTTCATAAAATAAACGCTTTAAAATATTAAGACATTAGATTAACATCTTCATCCAATATCGATTACACGGGAATCATGGGGGATCTCATAAATATTAATATCTTTTCTTTCTTTCTTTCTTTCTTTCTTTCTTTCTTTCTTTCTTTCTTTCTTTCTTTCTTTCTCTTCTTTCTTTCTTTCTTTCTTTCTTTCTTTCTTTCTTTCTTTCTTTCTTTCTTTCTTTCTTTCTTTCTTTCTTTCTTTGGGATACAATCAAATGTTAAATTCAAATGGACCATTATTTAAGATAGATAATAAAATTTGACGTAATTTATGGAGCGCTTTTATATTTTATTATGTATTTTTATAGTACGCGTTCATTTTGAACGCTTTCGGAGCGAGGTTCGTTTTTTAGGAAAAAATGATGAACGGCGTTCCTTTTATTTTTTAACGAACTTTGAACGTGAACGCGTTCCTTTTTTATGAAGAACGCGTTCGAATTTAATGTTTGTTCAATTTTAAAAACCCTTTTTGTCATCGCTGTGCCTATTATATAAATAATTATATACATTTTTAATATTATATATTGTTGATTGGTGGAAAAGAAAGAAAATATTATTATTAAGAAATTAAACGCCAATATTTGATTTTTGATTTTTATGAATAATCATCATTACAAAAAATTATTAATTTCTAGGATTCACTTTTAAAAATTATATTTTTTTTAAAATAAAACTTTCGTTTTTTTGGAATTATACATTTTAAAAAAATCACACTTTTTGGAAATTATACCTTTTAAAATTATACTTTGCAAAAAATTAAACTTTTTTTCTTTCTTTATTTTTATGAAAAACAATTTCTGTGGACTAATGTTTTTTACGCAAACAAGCGAAGTATTATTGTTTTATAAAATTCTTAACTTTATAATTTTTAAATAAAATTAATAAAGAAATAAAATTAATAAAGAAATAAAATATAAAAAGCATATTATTAATCCAAGGTTAAGGCTGTGATATCAGTGTTAGATTAAGAAATTAAATTTATTATTTCTGAGAGTAAGTTAAAGGACTTTTTTGTTATTTTATTTTTATTAATTTGAAAAATTTAATATTAATCCTAATTTTTTAAGAAAAATATTTTATAATCAACTGTTTTTCCTTTACACATTTCAATTTTTTTTAACACACCATTATTATAGTTTATTAATTTGAATATTGTTTATATTTTAATTTAATAGATTAGCATAAGCATGGATATTATTATTTCATCATCATTATCTGATTCTGAAAATTCAAAATCAGATTAATTAATATTACCATAGCCCAAATATGATAAATATTTTACAGCAACATCCTATATTGAAGGAACTAATTCAATACTTACCAAATGTAAAATGTGCCCAAAAAGTATTATATCAGTTTCAAAATCTTCAAGTTCCAATTTAAAACGACATTTGATTGTAATATTAATTATTTTATTTTATATAATACAACTAAGTAAAATCATTAAATTTGAAGAAAAAATGCATTTAGGTTATTTGACCCCAACAATAACGATAGTTATTTTAAAATTAAAAAAAATTAGTGGTCTAAATTATGGTCAACTATTGATAGTCGCATTATTAAATGGGATTAATAACTTATCACTATATAATTAATTGCATATATTTTATTTTTTTTAAAGATTTGAACATATATATGAAGATCAATATATTCTTTCTGCAATTATACTATCCAGCTTTTAAGCTTCAATGGCCATGGATAAAACTTCTACAGAACGAACCTATAAAAAATAAACTTATAGCGTTATTGAAAAAATGCATTGAAAACCCTAGAAATGATAATGCAAGAACTGTTAATTTCGAGATATCCTTTTTTTTGACGAGGAAGTAGAGGATGGATTGGAGGAGGATAATTATCTCAATTTTTTGAAGCAAAGGACAAAACAATAAATGTTTTTAATATATTCCCCACGTTAAAAGAGTTGTTTATTAAGCATAATACCGCAATCTCCTCATCTGCCCCTGTAGAGAGCGTTTTTAGTATGGCTAATGCCGTATTCAAGTGTTCCTGTCTATCAGATGAAAATTTTGGAAAACAATTGTTATTAAAAATTAATAAGAAAAATTTTTTGTAAATAAAAATATCTTTTTATTCGCTATATTATTTTGTATTTATATTTATATTATCAAAATAAAACTATATATTTTTTTAACATAGCTAATATATTGTGTTAAAAAATATAAGACATTTATTTATATTAAATTAAATTTAAAAAAAAATTTATCATAAAATTTTGAACGAACGTGAACGCGTTCCTTTTCTTTGAAAGTGAACGTTACGCGTTTGATTTTTTTAGAAATCAGCACTATATTTTTAACATTTTTTTAAATATAAATTAATAAAATTTCATATTCTTTTATATATATATGTAATTATAAATAAAATAAAAAATTGCCATTAGACGAATATATATGAAGTGGGTGGCGTTATATATAAATTTTGCACTTTTGTTAGAACCGTTTTCTGAAAATTTTAAAAGTAGATTAGTTTTAATTTCGGTACCTAGATTTGTGTCCCAAAACCTGTTTTAAACTGAATTCAATTAAGAAAAATAAATTATTTACTATGAGATGGTAAGTTAATTTAAAACTATAAACTTTAAAACATTTTTCATTTCTTCCTAAAATTATATGTATCATAATCGGAATCAAGATTCACACTCATATTAACACAGATCGCGAGATGTCAAGACCAAAACGCCGAAAAATTTGATCAATGCCAAAAACGCTTACAAAGTTACTTGTCACGTGATAGAATATTGGATGACTCGAATGTAGACGTTAATGCCAACTACAACAAAAGTTCACCTGTTTATCAAGGCGCTAATTCTGGATCTCGGCGGGACACGAACCTCGATGATTCTTTTAATAGCAATGAACAAGTGATCTTTTATATGTATTCAGAGTTTTAATGAGAGAAGATTATTTGGAGGCAACCCCTGAAAATAATATGTAGGCAAATTGTTCCCACTCCCGCTCCATTGACACTATATATTTTAAAGGGATCTTTTTTTTTGTCAATGAGCATGAAATTTATAAACTAAAGGTCTGTAAAGCCTGGCACGTTAAATTTTGCGAAAAGTCTGCTCCGGCCTGTTAAATTATTTGTACTAATTTTTTGCCATCACCTTTTTTTTACCTATGTAATTGCCGGGGTGGCCTAATGGGTTAGATGTATGCTTGGAAACAGAAGGACGCAGGTTCAATCCTGGTAAGGAGCATAAAAACTTTCAAGTTTTTCTTCGATGACTGATGTATAAAGACATATGGTAAGATGAATTTCGGAGCTTAGAGATAAAACCCCGGTCACCGACAGGCCTGGACAGCCGGGTGCTAAGGATACCTGTCCAATAAACAAAATGAAGGAAACAAATGGAAATATGAATATGAAAGCTAGGGCGTTCCGTCCAAACGACGCGCAGGGTGTAGACCTCCATCCAGTGAAAAGTAAAGTAAAGGTCAAAGCAAAGAAGACAAGATTAGCCAGTTTGAATATTGGGACGCTTAAAGGTAAGACGAGAGAATTGGCTTCAATGTTGAACAAGAGAAAAGTTCGAGAGAATTGGCATCAATGTTGAACAAGAGAAAAGTTGATATAGCGTGCATACAAGAGACGAAATGGAAAGGTAAGAAGACTTTAATGATTGGAGATGGGTATAAATTGTACTATAATGGAATTGTTAGCAATAGGAACGGTGTCGGTATTATCCTCAGTCAAGATCTAACCTCCTCAGTAATGGAAGTCAACAGGATCTCTGATAGACCAATGAAGATAAAACTCTGTATTGGTCAATCAATACTACACATCCTATCAGTATATACTCCTCAAACGGGTTGCAAGGAAGAAGAGAAAGATGAATTTAGAGCTATCCTTGATGAAGCTATAATGGAAATCCCTAAGGATGACCTAGTCATAAAGGTGGTGACTTAAATGCGCATATGGGAAAACAAGAGATAGCTACAAAAGGCATCATGGTGGTTTTGGATATGGAGAAAGAAATGATGAAGGAGAGCATGTACTGAAATTTGCGCAAGCCTTCGACCTTGCCTTAACCAACACCTACTATAGGAAAAAAGACAGTCATTTAATAACATAAGAAAGTGGTACAAGGAAAACACAGATAGATTACATGCTAATCTCTCGCAGAAGATTAAAAGATGTAATAGACTGCAAAGTCATCCTAGGAGAAGATATCGCCGCACAACACAAGCTACTAGTCATGGATTTACACATCTCAAATAAATCCACTTAAAACAAGATAAAGCTGGAACCATGCATCAAATGGGGCAAATTAAAAACAATGACAGATGCCTTTGCAATCAATGCAAACATTGAAATTATAGATTCCTCACAAGTCAGTGAAAAAATATGGACAGACCTATCATCCAGATTAACAGACACTGCCAAATCGACACTAGGATTGACAATGGGAGGCAACAAATCATACAAAGAACTATGGTGGTGGAATGAAGAGGTACAAACCACTATAAAGGAGAAAAAAGGCCTATATAAAATATGGTTCAAATCCAAAAACTCAGATGACAAGACAAATTACAAAAAATCTAAGAGAATAGCTACAAAGGCGGTGGAAAGAGCCAAATCTATGGCATACAATGACCTGTATGAAGAACTACATACCAAAGAAGAGCAAAATAAAATATACAGATTAGCCAAACAGCGAGAAAAGAACTCTAGGGATATAAATGGAGCTTCGAAAAAATAAAGATAGGAAATTGATAATAAAGGAAAAAGAAATAATGAATAGATGGAAAGAATATTTTCAGGAGCTTCTCAACTTTAATCCCCACATACTACATCTAGACGAACACTCCCCATGTCAAAACCTTGTACAACCTATAACAACAAGAAATAATCACATGCCTCAAGCATATGAAAAACAACAAATCTAGGGGTCCAGACGATATTCCAATAGAAAGCCTTAAAGCACTAGATGATGGAATACATTTCCTCACAATTCTGTACAATAAAATACTTGGAAATGAAGAGGTTCCCTAAAAATGGAGGCAGAGCTATCTAGTCCCTATCTTCAAAAATAAAGGGGATCCACACAATTGTCAAAATTGCAGGGACATAAAACTAATATCACACTGTCTAAAACTATACAAAAAAATAATAGAAAAAAGATTAAGAGACATAATCGAAATAGGAGAGACTCAGTTTGGCTTTTTGCCTGGAAGATCAAGAACTGATGCTATCCACGCAATTAGGCAAATGAGTGGAAAATACCGGGAAAAGAACAAAAAGCTACACATGATCTTTCTCGATCTAGAAAAGGCCTTCTATAGAATCCCAAAAAAACTTATCTGGTGGGCGCTACGCCACAAAAAAGTTCCCGAAAAATATATAACAAATACAGAATATGTATATGGGCCATACAACAATGGTCCGTAGCACAACAGGTACTTCAGCAGGCTTCACAATTGCCGAAAGAGTTCATCAAGGGTCGGCTCTCAGCCCACTTCTTTTCATTACAGTAATAGATGTATTAGCACAGTCTATACCTCAAACAGTCCCGTAGAATATGATATTTGCAGATGATATTGTGATACTTGCCGAATCCAAGGATGAAATGAAAGAAAGATTAGTGAGTTGGATAAATATCCTAGAAAAGCACGGACTAAAAGTAAATAGAGAAAAGACGGAGTATATGGTGATAGGAGGAGATGAAACAAAGAGTATTGATATAAATGAATGGCAGATATCGGCAATTTAAAGTTGCAAATATTTGTGCTCCACTATACAAACAAACGGCACAATAGAAAAAGAGATAAAGAGTAAAATTAATCAAGGGTGGTTAAAGTGGAGATCTTTATCTGGAGTGCTATTTGACAAAAGAATCCCACACAAATTAAAGGGAAGAATTTACAGTTCCATAGTACAACATTCTATATAGTTCGGAAACATGGCCAACCAAAGAAGTTCGTTGAAAAACCAACTAATTTTCATTAACGATTAAGTGTATTTTATTTTTTTTATTTTACCTAAGTTATTATTCTCATTTAAAATATTTGCAAAGTTTATGGGTGAATGTAGTGTTGTTAAACAACTCCATTTAGTCGATTTTTAAAGGGCTAAATCAAAATTTACCAGGTTATTATTGCCTGTGCCTTGAAATTTCGCCAATAGAAATCCAGACCTTTTTGATACCTGTGGGAGAAATCAATAAGCATAAGTAATTTACTCTTGGCTAAAATTTTGAGTTAATTGTTTTTAAAATTGGCGAAATCGAGCTGTTTAGCAACACTTGACTCGTTAGATGTTTTAAAATTCTTTTCTTTTTATAAAACTTTTTTTTTAAACATTACAACAAATATTGTATATGTTGCTTTCATTAATTTATTATTATGAAATTATTTATAAAATAAAAAAAATTATATGATTATATAATAACCAAAATAATAAAAAATATCGGATCGGATCAGTTTTTTAAAAAGATTGGCCCGATTTGATATTTTTTAAAACGCTAAATATGGGTGCCGATCCGATATTACATATCGGCACAGCCCTATTTATAATGTAATTAGATGACAATTAGTTCAGGAATAGTTTGTTAATATAAATTTCAAGAATGATCTGCTTCTTTAAAAAAAATTTATTACAAAATATTTTACATTTTACTTTGGATCTTTTTTGATATTGGAGCATATAAATAACATAAAAATAAAATAGAACTAGCTGTGCGATACTAAGTTTTGTGTGGGAAATTGAAAGTTTCAAAATAATTTATTCTCTATAATACATGATTAAACCACTTTGTTGATCATATTATCCTCCTTGAAATTACATAATTATCATTTTGAAGAAATAAGTTTACAATATACGAAAATTTTCCGCTGGGTTGGATTTTATTTTTTAAACCGTTACCAGGTGGTGCTAAATAATTTGAGGCTTGATTAAAAATAAGTTTACTTTCCTGCTAATACTTCGCCTTGGTATCGGCCAAAGAAAGTTGTATTGGCTACACCTCATCGGTAATGGAGAAAGAACAGGATTAATTCATGGACCAACGGCATTTCGCATAGGGTCAAGAAAAATAGAGAGTTTTGATTATTTTTGGAAGTCTGGATATTTCAGTAGGAGGACTTACCAGGAATCTATAATCTAAATAATAGACCCAAAAAATGTTTCGATAAAATTAATACTTTTTATAATATCCTATATACCTAGACAAAAGAACGGGTCCTGGGGAAGGTCTCCTTTTTGAATTCCCTGAGAGGATTTTAATGTATGCTAGCCATATTGTAGAAAAGAGGGATAACTGTTGATTATTGTAAATAATAGTATCCAGTGCCTACTGTCTAGTACAATGAAAAGTTTGATAAAACGTTGACGATTTCAACTGTTGAATATATATTCTTAAAATCTAGTTTAAAAACGTTTATTTATTTAAATATATATGGCTACATCGGTGATAGCTTACTCGGAGCCTTAAGATTCGCAAAATTGAACCCATAACTATTAGCAATGCGCCAATCTGGGTTATTAAGTGCGATAAGTTTCCCGCCGAATAGTATAAGAATTATTTCATAAGGAAGCTGCCCTCTCCTGATATTGTTAGAGAATAGTGGGATGTTGGTTCAGAAACGACTGACTGCCTAATATTTGATTTAATAGCCTAAAGAAAAATGTAGCTAATGCCACCCAGTCCCCGCATCGTCTTTTTTAAAAGTGTTTGTTGTATTAATAATTTCTGATTCGGTACTAGTACTCAGGCTACATAGAGAGAAAGAGTTAGAAGTTGTTGTTTTTTGGCGGTCATCTTAAAAATGAAGTTATGTCAAGTTTATTGATTATTTTAAATCCTATAGTTTTGAGGGAGGGAGGAAAACACGTGTTAAATATGGATGGGCCATGAAACGAGATGGTAAAAACTGTATATTATAAAGCGGAAGATGTTGTTTATAGATGCACTGGGCGGGTCTCTGGCTCCTTTAAGATTCATTTAAAACTATAACCAAATTTATGACCATGATTATATTGTTTTTTCGGTAATTTAGAATAAGATGTTATGGGTAATTCTGGTCCTGGACAATTAAGCCCTGTAAAATTGAAGTTGAAGAGAAAAAAAATGATACTTTTGTAATTGTAATAAATGTCTTTGAGGAGGGACAACGGGAATCTCGAGGGCCATGATCTTTATAATGTGCCCATCTTTGTAACTGAAATACCCGTTTTGTAAATTATACTAAGTTAAATATAAAGGCTAAAGAAGCTGTTTCTACTATACTGCTTTTATTTTTAGCACCTACTTTACAGTGACCAAAATATAAGTATATTGTAAATAGAAATTTAATTATTATAATGTCCAAATTAATAATACTTGTAAGGGATGGAAAAAACCCCTTTTCGGGAAGCTGTTTTTTATATTACTATCACAATCCCTATGTAAAATATAATCTACCAGTCCAAATTTTAAAATATCACAATTATTTTTTAATCTGCTCATAATTTTTGTAATACTTGTGCAGTCATTAAACTTTATTCATTTCATAAGGCAAATTTATTTGCAAAATAAGAACAAATATCTAAAAAAAATTAAAATAAAATCTTTCGATCTATATATGTTATAAAATTTGAATGGCTAAGTTAAATATAAAATAACACGAAGGTTATATCAAAATAAAATATAAGAATAAGAAAATACAAAAATAAAAAAGTTATAAATTTGAATCCCTTAACATTTTTGTTAATATAATATTTTAAGCTTGATTTTTTTGCTCTTCCCCCCCCCCACCCCCCATTTTATGCTGTTTTTATTTGTTCATTATTCTTAAAAATGCTGTTATATTCTCTCAAAACTATTTGCTTTATGAAATTTTTCTATCAAAAATATTATTAAAAGCCGTTCAATGGGTTGAACGAATTTGTTAGAAATGACGATGCCATATTTTCAAGTACATAAAAAAGGAAGAAAATTTTTTAAAAATTTCGATAAAATGTTAAAATAATTTTCTGATCATTTATTTCGATTAATTTGTTGGGTTCCAGATAGATGATTTATAGTCTAGTGTCAAAGGCTAAGCTTCATCCGCAAAGCACAATAACTTGATAGATATTCTTAGTTTCTAGGATTCTACTATGCTAATGAATATAAGACGATATAAGGTAGGCAGTGTTATTTCGGAATTACTCGAAGCAATTCCCCCTTCTCCCTCTCATTAATTCATTATTTTATTTGTACGCCCAAAATTTTAAGCAAAAAATATTTTAAAAAAACAGATCACTTCAGATAGAGTAAACAAATAAGAAAACATATTTGCCTTAAAAATTGGCTTTTGGCAAATACGCATTTAATTTCGCTTAAAACTTGATCGCATTAACACTTTCTTTCTTTCTTTCTTTCTTTCTTTCTTTCTTTCTTTCTTTCTTTCTTTCTTTCTTTCTTTCTTTCTTTCTTTCTTTCTTTCTTTCTTTCTTTCTTTCTTTCTTTCTTTCTTTCTTTCTTTCTTTCTTTCTTTCTTTCTTTCTTTCTTTCTTTCTTTCTTTCTTTCTTTCTTTCTTTCTTTCTTTCTTTCTTTCTTTCTTTCTTTCTTTCTTTCTTTCTTTCTTTCTTTCTTTCTTTCTTTCTTTCTTTCTTTCTTTCTTTCTTTCTTTCTTTCTTTCTTTCTTTCTTTCTTTCTTTCTTTCTTTCTTTCTTTCTTTCTTTCTTTCTTTCTTTCTTTCTTTCTTTCTTTCTTTCTTTCTTTCTTTCTTTCTTTCTTTCTTTCTTTCTTTCTTTCTTTCTTTCTTTCTTTCTTTCTTTCTTTCTTTCTTTCTTTCTTTCTTTCTTTCTTCTCTTTCTTTCTTTCTTTCTTTCTTGGAACAATTAGGCGAAATTTAACTGAATTCTTATATTGATATGTTAGAGCTCATTTTATTTTATATACACATTTTATCTGAGCCCACTAAATTGCATTTTCAATTCCGTTCTTTCTGCCACTAATTTTTTGCTATCGACAATTTTGGTGTTAGCATTTTTATATGATCACTGCCGTAACATTTTTTCTTCTTTTTTTAAAAAAGTCACGCCTCACTCTCCTCACCCATCATACCATGATACTTTATCAAAGGTAACTCACATTACTTCTTCTCGCGGTGACCAATACAATAATGTCATTCCCCAATCTGTGTCCACCCTAGAGCGATTATTACTTCCGACCCACCTCTCCTCCACCCTCTCCAAATCCGCCACTAAAATTCCAAAAACGGGTAGTGAATCGCGTGAAACCCACCTGACCCGACTCCTAGCCGAAAACGAATGGCATTCCAGCCGATTGACAGAACAAATTGAACTTTTGAAGCGTGAAATAAGGAGGTTGGACAACGCATGCGTGGGTAGGCACCTCCCATTTCGCCGAGAAGCTGATCTGTTGGAAGATTTCCTAGAGGGAAAAAGTGTAGAGAATGTAAATACTACTTTTAAAGAGCCTCTGCAAAATTTGGAATACCTGAAGAACGTTCTCGTTAAAGTGCGCTTTTAATATTTTATTATATTCAATATCAAATGCAGTTTTTTTTCATTATTTTTTAATTATCTAATATTAATAAAAATTAAAAATTTTGTATTGTTTCGTATGTATTTATGTCATACATATTTTAAAATAAAATATGCAATAAAGTTTTTAAGCCCAGAAACGGATGGTCAACAACGCAAAACGCTCGTGTCTGTTCTTTCGACCATTCTTCAACTGCGCACCGATCAAAAATTAATATTGAATAGAGTGTCCGAAAATAACATATTATTCAACCTTCCTAGTGATTCTTTGTTCAATAACGAATATTCCTCCGCTAAACGTTTTGGATTCTTTTGAATCACTGCACTCATTTTTTTTTGATCAAAATCAACCATAAACATTCAAATTCCGCTGCCGGTGTTACCCATATTTCCATTAATTAATGAACGGGGGAAAATGCCGGAACTTTAAATGATTAAAATATTATTTCTAATTTCCAAAATTGGCTCTCATAAGCGAACTTCTTCGCTTCGGGTCTTTGGAGGGGAAGGGGGGTTGGGTCTATCACATTTTTGAAAAATTAACAATATTTATGCATTATGAATGTTAAAAATTTATATTTATTAAATCGTTTTTTTTGTAAAATTTATCTCGCGAACTAATTGGCGTTATCCATAATTTGGCAATCTTAATTATCAATTTTTATTTTGTTGTAATCATTCCTTGAATTTTTTAAATATTTTAAATATCTTGTTAAACATGCATGTTATTGACTATTCGGCTGTTTTTAATTCTATGAAATTCGAACATCGGGTTTCAATTCAAATTAATTTTTTTGTCAATCAAGACACACGTTATAATATTGTTAAAGCTCTAACGTTTACAATGCATGTTTGATTTGTTAATGATCACCGAATTTCATGAACCCCATGTACTAATGATATCAATGATCCGTTTGTTTTCATAATAAACTGGGTTATTTTCTATATTTATATCCACTTCCTTAATAGTTTATTAGGACGCTCATATTCCATTTTAATAGTAGGGTTATTTTAAAAGTTACTATGGGTGAATTACTTTATGATTTACATTAATAAAATTCGATTACATAAAATTACATGTAGGAAATATTGAAATTTCTCTTCATTTAAGATATGAAGCAGCTTCTTTTTGTTATACACGTGCGATAATTTGGCTTTTATGAATAATTAAGATAATCGTGTTGATATAAGATTCTAAATAATTAAATTGTATTTTAAACAGATTGATAATAATTGGCTATAAAAATTTTAACGCAGGATTTGTAAAACATTGAAAAAAAGATGGGTTAAGGCCGGATATCATGTTCTCGTTCTTGCCTTTTTCCTCATGATCATCATCTCCTTAGAAGTTAGTAGATACCAGAATTATAAAACCTTTTGATGTATGAAAATTAATATTGCCAATTTTCTTTACTCCAGGAAATAAGTATAATTTTTTCCAAAGGACTTGGTTTTCCTCTGGAGTAGTTTAAAATAGATAAAAAAATCTTTTTAGCCATCAAATCCATGTTTTTCTAAAAAAATTATCTCTCATGCCTCGTGGAGTAAAGAAAGCTGTTACTTTTCATTTCAAACTACCCAAGATTTATAATAGTCATCTACCTAAAAGATTTCGTCAGTGCAAGGTAAAAATGAAAGGATTCCAAATCACTCATTAACACCAAATTATATTTAAAAAAAATTGAATTATTTCAATTTATAATTTTTCACAAAAAATTGTATAAATATAAGAAAAAAATTATACAGTTGAAACCGTTATACGAAACGGTAAATGCAATATTCATACTTGTGGAAAATTGCGTATAATTTTAAATAATATCTGTTAATTCATCGTAAGATTTATCAAATCAAATTTCCTAATTATTCATAATATTTAATAGCTGAGATATTTACTATGTGATTAGAAATCAAAAAGTCAAATTATTTATAATTTTAAAAAAAGAAATGAGAATAATTAATATAAAGCACAAAAGTTTTTCCTAAAAGGTGGCAATAGTGTATATACATATATTACAATTTAAACTTTAGAAAAAATAAGATATATCATGGATAAATTAAAAATATAATGCGAAGAAAATCGAGTTTTTCCTACAGTAAATTTGATATTATAATTTATTTATATAATTAAAAAATATATATCATAATTTTTAGTTATATATTTAATATTCCTAACCAATCTGAAAAGAAATCAAATAATTTAATATTCGATATTTTAGGCACCCCAGACAATATAAATGTTAATATTTGCTTTGATGTGCATCAAATTTTGAATACATTTTTTTTAAAATAGGTGTCAGGTTTAATTATTACACCAATATAAAGTTGTTATTCATTAAATTTAATATCTGCCAAGGGCCAAGTAGAGTTTATTATGGCTGAAAATGTCTGTAGATAAACGGGGTGCCTTAATGATAAAAATTTTGAGAATGCTTTATTATTCAAATTTAACAATTATTCAACAGGTTAAAAATAATACTATCGCATACATTTTTGAAAAGTAACTAGTTATTTTTTAAAATATCTCTTCTATATATCGTAGTAAATATATTCAAATAATAAATTTTATTTTCAATAAATTGTTTAAATTTGATCAAATGTCTGATTCTGTGTGTGCGCCTTAATATTGATAATGGATCAGACCAATGAATCTAACAGATACAGAATATAATGCGAATTCTGACTGACTCGTCATTTGATGAGAATGACATTTACCAAAACAGCGGATTTAAATATAAAATTTTTTTGGCCATGCTTCGAAAATTCTTTTGACCTTATATACATAATCGCCTTTATATAGGTATAACTGTGCATTCGATTGATGTAATTTGAACAAACGTCCAGCCATTTACTTTGTCTTAAATTATTTTTTCTAATTCGCAAATGTTTTGTGATTCTTAAAAGTTTTACAAGTTGTGAAAATTTTATCATTAAAATTTTGTAAGTCGTGAGAGTTTTGCGAGAAAAAAGTAGGCAATAGTATTAATCAATTATATTATTAATTATAAAGGAAAATATTAATTCCAGAAAAAGTATTAATTTATATTTATATTTAATATTACAATTATATTTTATTAGTCAGGAGAATTATATTTAAATTTGTTAGAGATGAAAAAAAATAGTTTTTTTTATCCCCCTCTCTTATTATGGTTAAGATGAAAAAGTTTTTTTAGTCCCCCTCTTTTGTTTTTGTTAAAGTTAAATAAAGATACCCCTCCTTTGTTTGCAATAAAATGAAAATTAAAAAAAGGTTTCTCTTTTTGGTCCCTCTCTTGTTTTAAGTTAAACACAGTGAAAGTAAAACATATGGCTTTTGTGTTTTCTCTAACTTTACTGGATTTCTTACTTTAGCTCTCCTCAGTAAAGTGATCCGAAAATATGAGTTAGACCGTTGGGTCCGGGAGACCATCCTGCATCCCAAGGTATATTTTGAGTTTCGGGAAGTATAGGGGGGTCGGTTCCCAATTATGTACGATAAAACTAACACAACTCGTTTCCACAAAAACGTTCTTTTTTTCACTTAGCGCCAATTTAATTTTAATTTATAATTGCGCCTTTTATTTTCCCTATAAAAGGGACGAATTTTTTATAGTTTAGATATACTTTATTTTTTCTGTAAAATAATTTTGAAAATCTTTATTAATACACACTTTTTTATGTTAATTTTGAAATTTTTATTAATATAAACTTTTTTAGTTTTGTAAAATTTTGATAATAATTATTTTAGTTATTTTGTTAAACAATAAATTTTGATAATAAATTATTATGACTACGACCATCTCAAAATCATTTAAACGAAGGGTCTCAAAATTCTTCAAAATTAAATAGATGATTCGCGGCTGTTGACGATATCCTATAATTAATTTATAATGATAATCTTTTTTGCTCTTTATATTAAAATAAATTATAACATAAAAAATCCACAAATAATAGAAAGTGATCTTTACTATTCTTTTTATATATAAATAAATATACATATAGCTCTTTCAAAATTAATGCATCAGTAAAAATATATTATTTTATACTATAAAATATGTTAAAAAAATAAAACTACAACACGCCCCCCTCCTTTCCATTACGAAAACCGGGTATCGGGGGATAATTGATATGACCGATAATATACGAAATATAAATACACGGACGTTTTTTTACTTACTCCAAACTTTAAATTTATACATTCTGTTCATCTTCGTTGTCTATAAAATTTTCGCCTAAATTACCTCTAACAACTTTATAATAAGAATTAAGATATGCGGGTTTATGCCCATAGGAGGACGCCATTGGAATCGTCTCTGCTACGAAATACCCTTATGAAATTCGGATTTTTTTGTCCAGGGACGTGATTTGATTATAATTTCCTGTCTTTTAAAATTTCCCTGTAATACCGTGAATTTTATATTTCTATAATTAGATTAAAGAATAGATAATATTATTTAAATATTTCATCATAATTTTGTAATAGCATGAATTTTATATTTCTAAAATTAGAATAAAGAATAGAATATATTACAAAAATTATTTTTCGACCCGACACGATTAAATTTATTTGAATTTGAATATTATAATATCCAAAAAACAATTATATTATGTGTATAACCTTAAATAAAAGTTTATTTTACTTTAATAATATAATCAATAATTAAATTAAGTTGCTTTTCATTTAAATTGGTAACATATACCTTATATTCAGTTTAACAATCGAATTTGAAAATTATTGTTATTATATAAAAATAATATGCATGATATAATGATACATCTCACTATCATTTTCAATAGTATCAGATAGTGAATAATTGTGATATATAAATAATGAGGAGTCGAGTTTGTCAGGCTTTAAACAAATCCTCCTATCTTCAACGGCCCTACAAGCCGCTGAAAGCGCTCTTTCACTGTTAGCCGAGGAAGCAGGGATAGTCAGGAATTTAAGAGCCAAAACACTTAAATTGGGAAAGCCGCTTTGATAAATCTTCCACCAATTTAAGATTTGGTAAACGATTTTAAAATTAGAAAATTTGAGGCTATTTTATTAAATAAATATTAGATAAATATATTTTAATTAACCTGATGGAATATGATGTAAATAAAATATGTAATAATAATGCAAAAATATAAGAACAAAATATTTTCTTAAACGGATGTTATGTAAAATAATAATGCAAAAATATAAAAACAAAATATTTTCTTAAACGGATGTTATGTAAAATAATAATTAAATAAATGACATGTTATTCTGATGACATTTTAATGATAAATGTGTTAGACAAAAAATGGCATATTATTGTAATTGCCATTATAAATTAAAATGATTATTTAGGATATTTATTTATCGGGTCGGACACCTCTTGCAACCCGACCAAGCCCCAAAATAAAAGTTTTTATGTCCGAGCTCGAGTCGGGTTACACACAACCCGTGTCGTGCTGACCTCTATTGACCCAATATTCTCATGTGATTTATTATCACTTTCATTCCTGTCGTCTTGTGACCTCCTCGAAGCCTTGATCCCATTATTATAAATTGCATCTCTTACCCGATCATCTTACATGCCTAAACCACCTCAGTTTATTTCTTATGTTCCCCATTCCAATAGCTTCTATTTCAACATTTTTTGCAAATCCTTGCTTGTTATTCTCTTACTCAGAAATAAGGCTTACACATCCATTTAATCAATCTCATATTCGTTCTTTCGAATTAATCTTTGTATTCCGCTTTCATGATCCACATATGCTTCATCGGGGTAAATTATACAGCATCTCACAGATTATGTAAACCTTTTATTTCAACCGCCTCCAATCATAGCCATAGTTTCACCTTCATTTACTTAAACCTTTTGAATCAATAGCCGTCTTCCATATGATTATTTTATCCTACATCGCTGTTTCACTTTTTACCAACAATAAAAGATTATCAGCATAGAAAAGCATATCTTGTGTCCATATCTTCATTGTTATAAATATTAGCGAACTTATGAATCCTTGATACAGCGTTTACTACATAGCGTTTGCCATCATTGCT